ACTCCCTCTCTCATAATGATTTGAAGTCAATACAACAACAATAAAAAAACCAGCAGACAAAAATGTAAATTAAGGCAGATGTTACAGTTTTGCACTCATATATTTCTAAGAGCTTTTTAACAATTTTCACGAAAAAAAAGAACTACTAACACAATGTTCAGTACTCTTTTGCCTGTTTCAGTTCCTGGATGTGATTTGGCGTACCTTATATTATGTTCGGTTTAATATGTACTTTATTACACGAAACTATAGATCAGTGTACAACTATGATAATTGATATCTTAGAATTGAAAATGATGTAATGCTTATAGTGACAGTCAAAATGTATCGATAAAAAGATGTTACCATACGATTACAATAAAGTACCAAACTTAAGGCTAGTATCATTTGAGACATAATAATCTCCCACGCTAATAAAGTTCATGGTCTTGAAGTCGGACTGGCGGTTTACGTGCCCTTCCTGATCGTCTTACGGGCTCGGGTTGTCGTTCGGCGTCCTGTTGTGGATGTACCACCTCCTGTCTTTCGGCTTGTTGCTGTGGAGCTATGTGCGGAGCTACTCGACGCTCGATGATTATCTCGTTTGGTAGTTTCTGTTTTCTCTCTATTACCGTAGTTTCTTTGTGATCCTCGACGTTAGTTACGCTTGATTTATAAAGTTGGTTTATGTGTCTCTTGAGGGTATAGCCATTATCTAATTCAACTTGATAATGTAACTTCCCGAACTTTTCTGTAACTACGCCGAATTTCCATGTTGCTTTATTTTTGTGAAACCATCTTACTTGCACCCGGTCTCCCACGCTAAATTGTCGGGCTCGGTCTGAGACCATAGGTGACGACGTTGCTTCGCCGTAGTGTACGGGTTTAATAGCATCTAACCTGGTTCGAGTTTTCCGCCCCAGGTAAATTTCCGCGGGAGTTTTGTTATTTTCTAAAGGTGTGATTCGATAACGGCTTACAATTTCGTGGACCTTCTTGCGCATTGGTATGTTAACGTGCTGCATTGCTTCGAGTTTGTTCTTCAGCGTTTGGATGTGTCTTTCCGCTAGACCGTTCGTAGCTGGGTGTCCTGGTGCGATAAATTTTTGAACGATGCCGTTACTTTGGCAGAATAATCTGAACGATTTGCTTTGAAAAATTGTAGCGTTGTCGGAGACTAGCACTTGTGGCAGTCCATGTGTTGAAAATATATCTTCTAATAACTCGATCGTGCTCTCGGACGTGGGTGCATTCTTGATTACCCTTATCTCCGGCCATTTTGATTTTGCGTCGATGAGAACGAAGAAAAAATGATTTTGAAATGGACCAGCATAGTCCATGTGAACCCTTTCAAAATTTTCTTGCGGCTGTTCCCAACTATGAGTGGTTATTTGTGCTGGATCCTATCGGACCATCGCGCAGTCATGGCACGATTTTACTAAGTTTTCTATATCTGCATCCATGCCTTTCCAGTAGCAATATCGCCGAGCCATTTGTTTCATTTTCACGATTCCCAAATGTGTGTAGTGCAACTCTTTTAGGATTTCGCCACGCAGGGACTTTGGAATCATTACCCTTTGGCCCTTCAATACAATATCACTTTGTATGGTGTATTCCGGATCTTGAATTTTACCATTTATCAATTTCGTTCTCAATTCAGCTAGCTCCGGGTCATTTCCGGTTTCTTTTGCAATAGATATCGCCCTAACTATGTTGGTGGATATTGTATTTACTGTTTCTATTTGTATTGCATTCACTTCCTCATCTAGAAAATATGTGAATCTATTCGACGAGTCTTTTGCTGGTGCTCTAGACAAACAATCGACGTGTGTAATCAGTTCTGATTTCCGATGCTTCATTTTATAATTAAAACCTTGAAGAAAAGAGGCGTAACGTAGTAGTCGAGCCGATGTCATTGCCGGAATTTTTTCGCTCTGATGCAGAATTCGAGAAAGGGGTCGATTATCTGTGACTAATGTAAATTCTCTTGCATACAAATATTGAAAAAATTTGCCAACTGCGAATATTATTGCTAGCGCTTCGCGATCTAACTGACTATAATTTTGTTCTGCTTTAGTTAACGCTCGTGAGATAAATGATACCGGTCGTTCGACCCCATTTTCTTCATGCGCCAGCACTGCCGCAATGCCCGTAGGGCTAGCATCACACGTCAAAACCACAGGCAAATCTGCATCATACGGCCTCAAAACTCTATCGGTTAGAATTTCGCGCTTAAGTCTTTCGAACGAGGATTGACATTCCTCGGACCATTTAAATTTTGTATTTTTGGATAGTAGCTTCCTCAAAGGGTAAGTAATAGTTGATAGATCTGGAATGAACCGCGAGTAATACGTTATCATTCCCAAGAACCTTCTCAGATCATCAGGTCTCTTTGGGGTCGGAATATCGCGAATGGCTTTTACTTTTTCCGGACATTTTGTGATTTTATTGTATTCTATCGTATACCCCAAATACTGTATTCTTTCTCTATAGAACTGACATTTATCTCTGTTAACGTGCAAGTTGTATTCTTTCAACTTATCTAGGCACTTCGTTAGCATTTCTTCGCATTCTTGTTTGGTTTTCGCGAATACAATAATATCATCAAAATATGATGATGTTCCTGGCAAATCACGTAAGATTTGGTCTAAGATACAGTTAAATTCGCTCGGCGCGGTCTTAACCCCGAACGCGAGACGATTCATGCGATATGTGCCTCTGTGTGTTGATATTGTTTGTATGTTCTTACTTTCTTCATCAACCTTTACGTGCAGGTACGCTTTATACAGGTCGAGCTTACAGAAGTATTTGCAATCTTTTAGGGTATTCAGTATTTTGTCAACTCTTGTGATTGGGTAGTGAGCTGGCTCTAATTGTGGGTTGACGGCTATTTTGTAGTCGACGCACAGACGGACCTTGCCGTTCGGTTTTGGAATAACCACCAATGGTGAACCCCAGTTGCTGGTATTCACTTTCGTGATAATGCCATCGCGCTCCCATTCGTCGAGCTCTTCCTCGACCTTATCTCTTAGTGCGAAAGGTACTCGTCGCTCTCTCAAAAATACAGGTTTTGCTCCTGGTACCAACTTCAGTGAGCATGAAATGTTCGGTATGCACCCCACTTTTTGTTCAAATACTTCCGGATATTTTGTTACTAGACTTTCAATAGAATTTATGTTGCATAGAGTTTTTGCCTTTACTTGTTTATCAACATCTTCTAGCTTGATACCTAGCTTTCGAATCCAAACTCGACCTAAGAGAGGCGTATGCCTAGCGGATACCACATACAGATCTACTATTGACTTATTGTTTTTGTACTCTACCGTTACTTTTGCTACTCCTTTTGGTAGAAAAATTTCTCCGGTATACGAACGGAAAGCGACGTTCGACTTCTGTAGGTTTACATTCAGTTTCAGTTTATTGAAATCATTTTCTGGTAATAAGGTGTACCCGGCCCCTGAATCAACTTCGAACTTTTGGCTTTTTCCCTCTATGAGTACTTTTGCATAGAATTTGTCTATTTCTCTCTTTGATATTTCTTCCTTTTTGTATATGTCTATAACTTTGTGGATATCCGCGGCATCTTCTGAAAATTCACTTTCCGAATCTGTAACTTTATTCGTTTGTTTTAGATCTTTTCTTTGCTTCATTTTGTATTGTATACATACGTCTTTTACATGCCCTGTTTTGTGACAGTATTCACAGTTTAGTTTGTTTTTGTTCATTTTGCAGTTCTTTGTCAAATGGTTTTGGCGCGCGCATCTCAAGCACCTATTTTCCAACCCTAATTCCTTGTATTTATTTCGCTTCACTTTATCGCCTTTGCTTTTAGTTCTAACCTGTTTAACATCATTGGGGCCGGTTCCCGATGCTATTTCTTGACTATCAATTTTCGCTGCTTCCAGAGCTGATGCTCGCTCAACTAACTTAGTAAAATTGTCTCCAGGGTTTTGTAGTAGTTGTTCTCTAAAGGGACTATCGCTCAACCCTCGTATGAATTGCGCGCGTAAAAATAAGTTTGCCACTGATTTGCTACATTCGCATGTGAATTGGCAATCGCTAGCTTTTTTTTGTAATTGAGCTGAAAATTCTGCGATTGTCTGGCCTTCGTTCTGGATTTCAGATAAGAATCGATGTTGTTCTACCAGAACATTCTTTCTGACATTAAAATGGTTTTCAAGTAACTTAATGACCTCGGCATATTGCAATTCGCTAATTATTCGTGGCGCTGCTAACGTCACTAGAAGTGCATAATTCGATGCCCCAATATATTGCAATAATAACTTCGTGCAAAGTTTATTTTCGAAAATACCTTTTATTTGGAAGTGTAACTCCAGGCGGCTCCTATAGTTCTTGAATGACTCCACTTTTGCATTAAATTCCTCGAATGTGGTTAACATGGTGACGCTCGTGCTCGCTGCTTCAACATTTGCTTGTTGCTGCATTGCTGTTGTCATGGACGACAATGCTGTTAAAATACTGCTTAGCTGCTCAGAATCCATCTTGGTGTGCCAAGTTTTGCTTTCCTCTCGTCGCCAACTATTATGTTCGGTTTAATATGTACTTTATTACACGAAACTATAGATCAGTGTACAACTATGATAATTGATATCTTAGAATTGAAAATGATGTAATGCTTATAGTGACAGTCAAAATGTATCGATAAAAAGATGTTACCATACGATTACAATAAAGTACCAAACTTAAGGCTAGTATCATTTGAGACATAATACCTTATTTGTATCTTTGTAAAAATTCTGGAGGTATATCCTTAGTTTGCTTTCACAGCTCATGTACTCGATTTTACCGACTTTGATACTTATTAAGCTGTGCTTTTAGTTGATTTCGCAAATTCTCGATGAGATTCATGTCCGCGGTTTGTGGAGGTCATTTCAAATTAGCAAATTTTTGCTTTTGTATCCAGTCTTTGCGAACATATGCAGTATGTATTGGGTGATTTTTCAGCAGAAACTCTCATTTTTCGACTACATCTTGCAAATTTTGTCGAAATATGAACAGATACTGTTCCTCACGCATAATGTGTACTAACAGACCAAGAAAATGTTTGAAATACAACCCCAAACTATTATTGACCGACCACTGTTATTCATAGTTTGCCTTACATGCTGCGTATGGGCTTAATTTGGGTCTTTGACCCAATACCATGCCCGGCCATCTGATTGAAAGCGATTAATTTAGTCTTGTGGGACCAAATAACCTTCAATTGAAACTTAAAAAAATGTTTTTTATTGCATTCTGAACGGCCTAACATATCCCAATAGGCAACGGTTCGGTTTTCGTGCGATGCAGCGAAATGCTGCCACACTCGCACATGTATTATGATCAAATTTGCTTTTTTCTTCTTTATGATGCCTTTGCGCTCAATTTGGCAATTCTTCGCCTCGCTGTCTATTGATTTGCATTAAAGTTTAATACCTTAAGCGCTTCTGTAATAGTGGCTGCATCGCTACTTGCTTCTAAGTTCACAAGATATCGTACCGTAATATTTTTTAACAGAGTTCCTTTGTCCTTGGGAACACTTTAGGCTATATTTTTTCTAAGTCTTAACATTTTTAAGTAGCAAATTCCAAAATTTTTTGCCACTTTTCGTGCGGTTCCGCCTTTCCGCAGTAAATCTATTATTTACATTTATGGTTCCTGATTAACTCTGTTATTCACTGGTGATCACTTCTTCAATAAATTACAATATAGAAAAAAAGTCATTTGACTTCCAACTAAGTAAAAGATAACTGTCAAATGCAAAACTGAGAGTGAGTGCAAAACTGTAACATCTGCCTTAATTTACATTTTTGTCTGCTGGTTTTTTTATTGTTGTATTGACTTCAAATCATTATGAGAGAGGGAGTAGGGATGTACCAACAAGAATATTCAACAAAAGGATGAAAGTCGTTGGAACTTGGAAATATAGTGGTGGCTGAAACAAAAAGTGTTAAACAATGTTACAGTTTTGCTCGTCACTGTATTTTATAAAGACAATGGTGCCTTATGGCCGATTTTTAATCTATGGCATATTGACATCCATTTCGGCACATTTTTTAGGAAAAATTTGGCACAATTTGAAATTTTGATTTTCCATCACTGATACCTATGTGTTCTTGGCCGCTGTAGCCAAAGGGTTATATATCCAACTTTCTACAAGGAACGCGATGAATTGCCAAATGAAATGTGAAATGTCATAACAGGGCAGTTGGTAAATCACCTGAAATATTTGTAAGATTATTATTCGGATGGTAGTAGTAATATCGGTTTGGTTCAAAATCCATTTACGAAGCATTCATAGGTCTGCAGAGTACTTCGACATTGAAACGCACATTTGAATCTGTGTATCTGAAAGTTTTGGGTTAGTGTTAAGAATAAATATCATGAAGTCGCTAAAAAGGCCATTTAATTTTGCTTCCTTCTGTCATAACGTACTCTGTTAACAGGGTTTTCAGGTTACACTTCTACAAAAAACAAATTCAGGTCGAAATTGGATGTTACCCCAGAAATACTCAGTACATTATAGACATTATATCGAACTACTATTTTATATAATAATTAAAAACAGTGAATTTCATTCTTCACATTAAAATTTAAAGTATGTATACTATTTATTTCTAGTAAACGTTTTTATTCATATTTACATAAATTGCACTTCCTTTGATTTTTAGTAATTTGATTTGGGGTTCCATAAAATGAAAGGTGTTTAGTATGGGTTCCATCACTGAAAAAATATCGGGATCCCGTGATTAACATTCCTAATCGCAACGCATTCACAATGATAGGTTCGCGCTAATGTGCGCTTTCCAAAGAATGGATTGCGTGATTCGCAGATTCAGCCAAACACTCAATTCCAAACATTTTCCATTCAGGTTAGGTCAGGTATATAGGGTTAAAGCTGAAAAAATCACGACTTTTAGTTATCCTCGTTTTTACAGCTGCTGCTGCTGTTGTTGTTGTTGTTTTTGATGTTGTTGTAGTTGTAGAGGTTACAACAACCCCGCCCAGATCGGCTAATATCTCAGTCGTTGTCGTCATGTTCCACTAACGGCAGCCCTATGAAGCGTGCAGCCTCTATGGGGTCGGTCCACAGGGACAAAGGCGTTAGGGTTGTTGGGTTTTCCGGCCATACGAAGAGATTCTTCGAGTCATGAGGTGTCTCTCCGCATGCCGGATACTCATTGGGCACATTCGCGTTTAGTCTGCTCAGGTATGAGTTTAACCTGCTGCAGTAGCCAGATCGAAGTTGGGCTATTGTGGTTCTTGTCTCCCGAGTCAGATGAAGCTCCGTCTCGTCTATGTCCGGTGGTTGTGCGCCTAGAACGGCATTCACAGGTCTGGAGTCTACATAACTCGAGACTGACTCCCTGTGAATGCCGTTCAGGGCCTGTCGATATGCTGACGGGTCCAGAGGTTGTTTAATGAACTTCTGGACTTCGTCCGTCAGTTCGTAGAGATGCCTCCTGACGTGCCTTGGCGAGGGCTCTTCTGCAAGCAGCTGCCCAATCGGGTGACCACGGCTATGGCTCCCGACAAGGAACTGATTGCAGAGCATGGTGTTATGCTCCTTGACAGGAAGCAATTTCGCCTCGTCGTGTAGTAGGTGGTGTTCAGGCGTCATCAGAAGGCATCCAGTCGCTGTCCGTAGTGCGGGGTTCTGAGTTGTCTGCAGATTTATCCACTGCGTCTTACTTGTCCCCGGCGGCGACCACACTGGTGCTGCGTAATTTAAAACCGGCCGGCCTATTGCCTTGTATACCCCAAGTACTGCCGGCTAGCGACTTGAGGACCTTGTTGCGGCTCTGTACTTTGTTGACAATAGCGGTTGCGTGCGCAGAGAAGGAGAGCAGACTGTCGAAGGTTACTCCGAGTATTTTGGGGTTATTTACCGTCGCAATTGGTGTATCATCGGCGTGAATTCCCAGCGGTAGCCTGACCTCCTTCGTCCAGGTGGTGAACAAGGTCGTAGAGGATTTCGTAGGAGAGAGGGTTAGGCTCCTTGCAGTGAAGAAGCAAGAAAGCTCGGAGAGACACCGGTTTGCTTTCGAACACAAGTCATCAATTCTATTCCCAGTCACCATGATCGAGCAATCATCGGCGTAGGATACAATCGAGACTCCCTCTGGTGGTTGAGGGAGCTTTGAAATGTAAAAGTTAAACAGTAGCGGGGAAAGGACACCACCCTGTGGAACCCCCTGTTTTATTTTTCTCTAAACATTACCGACGAGTGTCGACCACTCAGATAATTCGCCGACCACCGTTTGAGCCTCTGTGGCAGAGAGGAAGCCTCTATTTCTTCTAGTAGCGTGGAGTGGCTGGCGGTGTCAAACCCCTTTGAAAGGTCCAACGCTACTAGAACAGTTATCTCAAAGGGACGGTTGCGGTTAAGGCCACTTGTTATCTGAGTGTTTATGGCGTTAAGTGCTGTTGTTGTACTGTGCACTTTACGGAAACCATGCTTATGCTTCGCTGGGGTCAGTTGGTTTGTGAAATACGGGAGCAGAAAGGCCTCTATTGTCTTCGCTACCGGGGAAAGGAGTGTTATCGGTCGATAAGAATCTCCTTTGTTGGCTGGTTTCCCCGGTTTGAGCAGTGGGACTACTCTCCCCACCTTCCAGATGTCTGGGATGATAAGAGTGGCCATAGACATATTGAGGACCTCGGTAAGGTTCGACTCCCGCAGGACCCAAATTTTTCAGCATCAGCATGCATATTCCGTCGGGACCCATGGCTTTGGAGGCTTTCGCCTTCCCGATAGCCACCTGAACTTCACCGCTAGTGAAAGCAAGGGGGGCACAAGTTGTTGGCAGTTTGTCCAGCCTTCTGGTCACTCGATGCTTGGATTTGTCCACCGAAGGATGCAGTATGAATTTCCGGCTAAAATAGCTCGCGCATCGCTTCGGGTCCGATGAAGCATGGTCGCCGCAAGAAATTTCGACCAATCGTCGTGCTTCGTCGGATTGGACAGTGACCTCACGTTTTACCAACGCTCACTCACACCAGAGGTAGAGTTACCGGTCTTCAGATGCTCTTCCCACTTCTTCCGCTTATGTGCGTTCACTAGTTGCCGAATCTCCGCGTTGAGATCCCTGATACGGGGATTTCTGGGATCGGCCCGACGAAGGCTGTCACTCTCGTCGGCTAGAACAGCCGCATTCTGCCTGCAGCAGCAGTGACAACCCTGCGGAACTTACGTTCACCAAGGTGGACGTCGGTTGGTGTGAGCAGCGCAGCGAAGGTGCTCTCAGTAAATTCGGCGAAGCTTTAGAAAAGTTGATATAGGTCCGGTGCTCCGCGGAAGCATAGTCGGTTTGTTTATCGATCGAGATGACTATGGACAGATGGTCTTATGCCAAAGTCAACATAGGTCGCCATGATACTTTGTTTATCAGACCAGCGCTGACTATTGTTATGTCTGGCGAGCTGCAGCAGCTGCCCATGATCCTGGTGGGTGCGTGTCATTCATTGTGCAGAATGTCGAACCGTCTATCTGCTCAGCCAAGTCAGTTCCCCTACGATCGTTTGACAGGCTTGAGTGCCAAAGATCGTGGTGCGCATTGCAGTCACCTACTACCATACGGTTTTCACCTCTGAGGAGCGCACCTGTGTCAGGGTGATATCCTGCCGGGCAGCAAGTGACAGGGGTTATATACATTAAATATTTCGAGCTCAACATCGCCTGACCGGATAGCAATGCCCTGATACATTCTAGGGTGGTATCCCTGCTGTCGATGTCTGCTTCAATAAGACGATACGGACGGTTACCTCCTCGATCTTGCTCTGAAGTCCGTTACAGTTTAATTGAAGGAGCTTCATGTGGTTCGGGAGACGTGTAGTTATGCGGGGTGTGAGGGATGTGTGTAGCGTTGCCGCCATTGGTTGTGTGCGCTGCTGTGGAGGTTGCTGCCCTGTAATGGTAGTGGGTGGCGTCGCAGTTGGGATTTGCGACCGGGCAGCAATGCATGCCCTAAAGTGGTACCAGCTAAGGCAGGTGTTGCACTTGACTATGCCGAATTACGGAATATCCTGGTCTAACATGCCGTGCAGATTGTAGGAGGAATTAGGAGTAGTCTGTTATGTGCTCTGTCGCGGTTGTGGTGTGGCCTATTGTGTTGTTGTGTTGTGGTGCTGTGGTGTCTGTGTTGAGCTGCTCGGGTGGACTGGGGTTAGCCGTGGAGGCTGCTCTGTTTGAGCAGCAGGGGGCCACATAAGATGTGGTCCACTGCCGATGTGTCCGTAGTCCTGAGCATACTCAGGTGGCTCCACCCCTCGCAAGCATTACACTTGACTGAGGTGGAGTTGTGGTGTAGTCGTCTCTGGCATACACAGCAGGTGTAGGTTTCTGGCCCTGGGTTTGACTCGTTGCCAGCCCTGAGCAGAAGTGTACTTAGCGTAGCGTAGTCCCTATGGACGACCAACTTCTGAGATACTTCGCCGACCTAAACGAGGTTAGATCGCCGAAACAACATCCCTTGGTCGAGTAAAACCCGAGGCATTCCGGTACGTAGAACCGTAGAAATTAATAGTTTGGGGGTGTTTTACTTGGCTACGTTTTGTGGCGTTAGTTAATATTAAAGGAATAATGAAGAAGGAAGTCTATCTCCATATTCTCCAAACATATTTTCCGGACTTTGTAGACAAAATCGCATGCCCTGAGGATGAACTCGTTTGCCAGCAGGACGGAGATCTAAAGAATTCTGAAAAGATTCGACATCACCGGCTGTTTGAGCAAAATTTCAACGTAATGATGTGGCCAGCACAGAGGCCAGATCTCAACGCCATGAAAAAATTTTGCACTGTGGTCGCTTGTGCTATGCCAATCCTGACCTCCGAGTAACATGGAAGAGCTTTAGATGGGAATAAAATTATAATGGGTAATATTCTAGGCGAAATCATAGAAAACTCAGTAGAGTGCATTCTCGGACGTATGAAAATCGCAATTTAAAACAAGGTAGGCTCCACAATCCTGTTGGTATATAGCTTATACTATAAACCTTCAAAAATCTCAAAACAGAAATGTTGTGAATCGCTTTCCTTTATAATAGGCTTTATTCCTTGGATAATAAGGACCAATTTCTGGAAATTTCAATGCAATTTATCATACCTGTTACCATGTCATCCCCACAGATCGAATGCGATTCGCACTGACGCAATAAGTGAGTGAGAAGGATTAGATTCGTGCGAATGGCATCCCTCGGATACATGCCAATTGCGACCCGACAAACATATTCAATGAAAATATGTTTGTTGGCTGAAAATAGCTGAACCGAATTCTGCGTTAGGGCGTTCTTCAACCAAATTCTGGGATAGGGTGGTTTGCAACAAAATTCTGAAAAAGAGCGTTCTTCAATCAAATTCTGAAGTAGTAGTAGGGGAGCCCAAGAGGGGATTCGGCGATTTACTCGAGCGCGTCAGATTAACATATGAGGGATACCCTGCATCCTGTTGAGTACCTCTGCCAAATCTAAGCCATCTATGTAGAGCCGCGCGCATAGGAGAGCTGATCAGAATAGTAAAAAAAATGATAGGTGGATTTACTCGATCGCGTCAGATTAAGAAATAGTGGGTTAATTACATGCTGAAAAGTGTGCATTTCAATAATCTGACGATTTGAGCGAGACGCAAGGGATTGGGAGCGTCGAAAACTTGCAAAAAAAACGTTACCTGGATATTCTCGAGCGCGGTAAATTTTTTTTATTATGAAGCATACAGCTAAGGGATAACGGGAAGTATATGATCTGACGATTTCCACAAGCCCGAGTGACGAAAACCGTCAAAATAGTTTGAATTAGGATTGAAATAATCGTAAATCGAAGGAGTATTAGATTAAAATTATATTAAGAAAAATTATTAGCACATGATGTAACTTTTAGCTCAACAAATATCAATTAAAAATTACTTTTTTAACTTATGTATGTGAATTTTACTAATTTTTTAGCTAAAATCACTAGACATAAGAATTTGTATGTAAGAAAAACACGAATTTCTCAGATAATTTTGAATACGGCAACCTTAAGTTTACGTATACATGAAAAAATGTCAAACTCCGCTCCCTTCTTGCTCACTCTTTATACAGTATCTTAGTATAGTAACACGCAATCATGGGCGATCATGAAATGGTGTTACAATGGTGTTACATGAAATATTACTAAATTTTACTAACATTATACCGACACACAAAGCGCTTTGACCCAGTTCGCTGCGATTCAAAGCGGATGCATTAACCAAATTTCAATACGCTCTGAATTTCAAAAGTGTATTGACTCGAATTTGATTTCAAATCGGTTAGGAAACAGGTATAAACACATCACTCATTCGACGCGAAGTGAAAATAGGCTGATTTTATTTATACAACCGCTTTTAAATTTGAATTATTATTAAAATTAATTTGAATTATTGTATGAAATATTGAAATAAAATAACAAATTTTGTATACTTTTGAACACGGTTTCAGTGAGTGTGTTGTAAAGACACAGGTATAAACGCTTGAAAGAAATATGTGTCAATTGGTCAAATTGGTTTTTTTCTTAATGCGGTTCTTGCGTAGGTTAAACATGGTATACATTTTGTGATTCACGATGAGTGGAAATGGTTTTTGTGTGTTTTGTGGATCAAATTCTTGTCAAAAAACTTGTTGGACTATTCTAGCGGACTCAGGTATAATACCTTGTAAATTCTATAATAACACATTTTTCACTTAATATGTAAAAAAGAACATATTGTAAATTACTTCTTGTTACAGATGGGAAAAATTTAGAAGAAATAGACGACCAAGTCGAACCGCACTTGCTGTATGTAATAGTTCCACGGATAAAATAATAACTGTTTACAATAATATGTGTTTGGTTGATTGTGCATCTTAGAAACGGAATTATTTTTTTAAACCGTCAGATTAAGAAAACCCCTCCGGATAATCGTCAGATTATGAAACAGGACGACCAGGGCATCGAGATGAACCTTCTGTATGAAAATCTGACGCGCTCGAGTAAATCCAAATGGCGATTTTTTTTTTGCATCTTCAAGAAGACGCCACGAGCTTGCGTCACATCTGGATCGTCAGATTATTGAATGGGAGGTTTATTCGGGCCCATTTAACATCCCTTGTGAATATCTGATGCGCTCGAGTAAATTTTTTTTGTCACCCAATTTTTGACCCTTCCGTACGCCCAACCTCACTATGCAAACCGGCAGATAAGAATATTTCCGTCATCAGAAACACGTTTGATTTATTCACTATCAGAATCTGACGCGCTCGAGTAAATCCATGTAACTGTTTTTTTTTACATTTTTGGAAGCCTTTGGAAGATCCGCTGAAAGGAAAAACATCACATGACCTTTGTTTCTTCCCATCATATAATCTTCAAAATCCAATAGGTCAAAATGACGCTGGAGTTTGTTATATTCCTTTATAATAATTCTTTTATAGCAAGAAGAGCTTTGGATGCGAATAAAATTATAATGCGTAATATTCCAGGCGAAAACTCAGTAGAGAGCATTCTCGTATAATAATAGATTCGCGCTTACACAATGTGTTAGTGGTTGGCCGAAATTCTCCTCCAATTTGTTGCGTGCGCCTTGATGTTGTCACAGAGATGGGAGGGACCTACAGTTTTACGCCGACTCCAAACGGCGATTGTATTTTTATGAGAAGCTGTTTTTCATGGCGCAAATATACACGGAGGTTTGTCATTGCCTGCCGATGTTGGGAAAAACTTCTTATTTTATTTTATTTTTGATGTCCGCGGCCTTTTTAACTACTGAACGTATACTTTTATGCCTATTACAGTATCCGACGGCATGTATCTAACGAATGTCATTAGCACGAATCTAATCCTTCATACTCACTTGCTGCGACAGTGAGAATCGGATTAGATCCGTGCGGATGGGATCTGTCGGATGCCGTAATAGGAATGATTGTTTTAATAATTTTTGTGTAAATCTATCATTGCCGTCGGTTCAGGTGTTCTCAAAGGCTGCTTTTCCCAAATCTTTTATTATTATTATCATATATGTAGAAAGAAAGTGATCAACCACGGATTTACAATAAACAAGGAACGCTAGTAGCAAAGTTTAATTGAGTATTAATGAAAAAAAAATTTTTTTTTTTAAATTTTAAAACAACATTTAATATGTGCACTAAAATAAATCCTGAAAAAAATCCTTGACTTGTTTTATTTATGTGCGCATGTTAAATAAAAGTTTGTTTTAACTTTTTTACACTATTTTGTTTTGAACTTTTTAGTTTTTCTCCAAATGTGCTACATTTGTCCAAAATTTTCATTTGATTCCAATTTTATAAGGAGATATCGATGGCTGAGTGGAAGATCGACCTACCTCGGCAGCCTGTTCAAAAACGCTCTATCTCAAAAAACTTTTCAAGAACACCCTATTTCAGAACTCGTTTCAAAAACGCCCTATCTCAGATGTCGATTCAAAAACGCCCTATATCAGCATATTTTCAATACATTTTGAAGTGAGATAGGGCGTTTTTGAACCGAATTTTGAGATAGGGTGTTTTTCAATTAAATTCTGAAGTAGGGCGTTCTTGAAAGTTTTTTTGAGATAGAGCGTTTTCGAACTGGCTGCCGAGATAGGTCGATCTTTCCACTCCATATGAATTTATAGTATGGTTTTCGTTAGATAAAAAGCTATACTTTTATAAAAAAAAATATCAAATAAACAAAAGAAAAATAGGAAAAACTTTTTAAAATGTTGTGTCCCTACTTATCCACCACTGTATGTACAGCTGCGGTCAATAAGATAGTAGCAAAATTCAAAATGATGTTTGCAACTTATGTCTACTTATTTATTCTTAATAATTTTCATTTAAAATATAGTTTAATCTATAACAGAAACTGCATAAATAAAAGGTACAAAGCTTGCAAAGAGTTCACAGAAATTAATTAAACTTCAAAAAATTGCCATATCAAAATTTAAAAATTTTTATTCAGAATCTCTAAAATTTCTGAGTATGCGGTTTTGTAACCCATTGAATTTTAGTACAATAAAGTACAAGTTTCTTGTCAATAAAAATTACCGTTCTTTTTTTTTGTCGAGGATGTTGAGCATGTTCTTCTATATAAAAGTAAATTTTGTTCATGCGTGATTTGAAAGAAAATACGCAACACCCTCCACAAAAAAAAAATCTAAAAAATCAACGGTAATTTTTGGCTTCATAGCTGGGTTGTCGATGGAGACTTTTGACTTCACATGACTCCAAAGAAAAAATCCCAAACTGATAACTTGTTGAAACCAAATGTTTCTTAAATTTCAGGCAACAAAAAGTCCGATATCATGGTGAGTTATCGCCCCCCATTGACGGTTATGCTCTGTCTGCGGCCATTTGAAGGAAATTATTAAAAAAAAAAATAAATGCCAGTTCTTGTTTGTTCGGGTAATANAAAAAAAAAAAAAAAAAAACAAATTCCTAGATTGATCATCCCTTATGAACCAAATCAGACCGTAAATGCGGGTTTTTCAAATATCTCGGCTCCTCCACCATTTAGAGGATTAATTCTTCGTTTATATTGGAATTCCGAGCTAAGTTTGAACTTTCCAAGTTTCAAGCTCCTCGGGAAGTTGGTTAAAAATTTATTGCAAGATTTGATTACAGACACCAGGTCAGGGGAAACCAAATAAAAAACATCTAAAAAGTCATTAATGTAATTTAAAATAATGCATCAAATTACTTTATGGTGATTACCAAAAAATGTTGCCTTTTGATTGCCCCTTTCTCTTTTCGTGCTCGATTCTAAATTAAAGGCAAAGGGTGAGAAAATTGTGTGTTCGTTTCTTAAAATGTCACACTCTTGTAAGGCAAAAAATGAACATTCTCTGCCCTGTCAAGCTTTGTCAGGGGAGGTGGTTGCCCTGAAAATTAGATGTTTAAAACGACAATATTATGGAATGCGTGAGCTAGACAAGGACAAGAAGGCAAAAACATGCCTTTTTACAGAGTTACATTTTGCACGGGGGAAGGGCAATATTTTTTGGAAGAAACGAAATCACCATTAGTTTCAAAAAAAAGATTGTATAAACGTTCTGTTTATAAATATGCTAGAAAAAAAATCTGTTATTTCTAAATCGCACTAGAAAAACGTCGTAACTTGCGCAACCTAGTTAAAAATGAGCACCAAACCATGGATGCGCAAATTTGCAAATTTGGCATTACAATCTGTTGAGCTTTAGAAATAAAAGAGACTTATGCTTTGTATTTTCACATTTACGATTTCGCTTTTTGCTTGTTCAATTACACAGGCCAACAAAAATGGAAAAAAAACTTAGTTTCCTAAAATGTTAAAGCTCTTTTTGATTAACTTGTTTGTTCTGACTACGAATCCGTGAGTACAAAGTTTCCAGCAGCTTTAGATTTTGAGGTCAAAATGTAAAAAATATTGCGTTTTTGAACTATTTGAGAAGATCTAGCAAAAAAACAAAAGGTCTTAGAACCTTCCACTTAAATTAAAGCTAGAACTCTCGACTACTATCCCTGAAAATACCATTCGTGCATCTTGACTTGATGGTCACTTATAGTCATTTGGTGAATAGCAAAAACTGATTTTTGCGAAGTTTGAGTACCTACCGCAATTAAACAAAAGGTGGTAGAATCTTCCACTTAGGCTTAACTCAAGGCTTGAACTTACAACTTACCCTGGACCTTGACGCTACGGTCACCTATAGTCATTTGTTGAGCAACAAAAAGGAATTTTGGCACAATTTTCTTTCTTTCAATAGCACAATACTCCAGTATTTTGTTATTGTTCAATAAATGACTATAAGTGACCATCAAGCCAAGGTGCACGAATGGAATTTTCAGGGATATTAGTCGAGAGTACTCGGGTTTTATCCGACCAAGGGCTGTTGTCGGCGATCTAACCCCGTTTAGGTCGGCGAAGTATCTCAGAAGTTGTTCGTTCATAGGGCTACATTCGCTACATATTCTTCTGCTCAGGGCTGGTATCGAGTCAAACCCAGGGCCAGAAACCTACACCTTCTGTGTATGCCAGAGATGACTACACCACAACTCCACCTCTCAGTCAAGTGTAATGCTTGCGAGGGGTGGAGTAACTTCAGAGTCTGCTCATGATTACGGACACATCGGCAGTGGACCACGTCGTTTGTGACCCCCTGCTGCTCAAACAGAGCAGCCACCACGGCTAACCCCAGTCCACCTGAGCAGCCCCACACAAACACCACAGCACAACAACATAACATAATAGACCTCACCACAACCACGACAGATCACAGAACACACACAACCGCACCACCACCCACACGCCGCGGCCAACAACTCTTGGTTCCTCCTACAATCTGCACGGTATGTCAGACCAGGATATTCCGTAATGTGACATCAGTCAAGTGCAACACCTGCCTTGGCTGGTGCCACTTTAGGGCATGTTCAGATCTGCGCACCACGCGAGATTGGACGAGGAACTTCGAGGGCCCGTGTTGCGCTGCACGTTCACAAACCTCAACTGCGACGCCACCCACCACCACCACAGGGCGGCAACCACCTCAGCAGCGCACACAGCCAATGGCGTCACGGCCACACACACCCCGCATCACCACACGTCCACGAACCACATGAAGCTCCTTCAATTTAACTGTAACGGGCTCCAGAGCAAGATCGAGGTGATAACCGTCTTCATGGGAAGGCATGGTGTATTGATAGCTGCGGTCCAAGAGACGAAGTTGCACAGCAATTCAAC